GGGAGAACAGAACCTCAGATAGGGACTCCACACCCGCTTCACATCTAGGACATGTCTTAGCCACACACACTCGTGCTCCAAAAAATGCTCAACCACCAAGGCAGTACTTATAGCTCAATTTTCCTACCTTGGCTCATGCACGAGGTTGTCTGGTTGCCGCAGTGCCTGTGTTTTCTCCTCTGCATCAGTCATGCTGTCTCCTCACAACAGTCTCGGGTCTCCCCTCGGCTTATGTGCAGTGAGACGCCCAGACAGAGTGGGCCACTCTAAACCTGGTGAGACACATCTTCCCACTCTACTTGGGGCCCCACCTTGCACAGGCAAGAGGATCCCAATGAGCCCTCAAATTGTGAGAAACACAATCACTGGTCCAAATTCAATAAGTGGCCACAGAGACAAAGAGAACAGTGGAGCGAGGCTTTAATTATGGTCTTGTAAGATCTGGTGTCTGGTGAGCAGGCACACCTGGGGAGATTGGCACCAGTAATTTATCTCCTAGTGCGTGAGTCCCTCCCCTGGTTCCTCACTGGCTGAGTACTACAGGGTTCACATTCCTTCCTGGACATCACCTACGCCAGTTATATCTTTCCCTTATATTTATCTTAATTTTATTGGTAGATTTAAAAACTTAAATCAAACAGTTATAGCCAGGACCTAACCAAATCCCCCATCCCCACCCCCACTCTCAGCCTGAGCATCTTCCACCACGTGGCCCTTTGTTAATACCTTACTGTTAAAATGATTAAATATCCTGGTGGGAATAAATCACATTTAGGTTATATGCTCTTTCCAAACATTTACAAAAGTAGATATTTAATTCAAATGTCACCTGTTAACTTTAAAGAGTCAGTGAGCTACTTCTGTGGAAATATTTTTTATTTTTTATTTTTTTATTTTGGTTTCATTAATCTACAATTACATTAAGAACATTATGTTTACTAGGCTCCCCCCTTCACCAAGTCCCCCCCACAAACCCCATTACAGTCACTGTCTATCAGCATAGGAAGATGCTATAAAATCAGTACATGTCTTCTCTGTGTTGCACAGCCCTCTCCGTGCCTCCCCCCACATTATACATGCTAATCGTAATGCCCTCTTTCTTATTCCCCACCCTTATCTCTCCCTTCCTACCCACCCTCCTCAGTCCCTTTCCCTTTGATAACTGTTAGTCCATTATAGGGTTCTGTGAGTCTGCTGCTGTTTTGTTCCTTCAGTTTTTGCTTTGTTCTTATACTCCACGTATGAATGAAATCATTTTGTACTTGTCTTTCTCTGCCTGGTTTATTTCACTCAGCATAATACCCTCTAGCTCCGTCCATGTTGTTGCAAATGGATTTGTTTTCTTCTTATGGCTGAATAATATTCCATTGTGTATATGTACCACATCTTCTTTATCCATTCATCTACTGATGGACACTTAGGTTGCTTCCATTTCTTGGCAATTGTAAATAGTGCTGCTATAAACATAGGGGTGCATAATGTCTTTTTCAAACTGGGCTCCTGTATTCTTAGGGTAAATTCCTAGGAGTGGAATTCCTGGGTCAAATGGTATTTCTATTTTTAGTTTTTTGAGGAACCTCCATACTGCTTTCCCTAATGGTTGAACTAATTTACATTCCCACCAGCAGAGTAGGAGGGCTCCCCTTTCTCCACATCCTCGCCACTGTCTTGATTTAAAAAAAAAATGTGATAAATGACTATAACATACAGTTTACCATTTTAACCATTTTTACATGTATAGTTCTGTGGCATTGAGTACATTCACATTGTTCTGCAACCATCACCACCATCCATCTACATAAATTTTTCATCCTTTCTGAAAATCAGTACCCATTACATATTAATTCCAAAGTCTCATCTGCTTCCCAGCCTCTGGCAGCCACTGTGCTTTCTGTCTCTGAATTTCACTACTCTAAGTATCCCATCCATATAAGTGGATTCATACAATATTTGTCCTTTGGTGTTGATGGTGTTTTGAGGTACAAAAGTTTTTCATTTCGATCAAGTTCAATTAATCTATATTTTCTTTTGTTGCTTGTATTTTTGGGGTCTTATCTAAGAAACTGTTGTCAAACCCACGATCACAAAGAATTTATTTATCCTTGTTTTCTTCCAAGATATCTATCAATTCTGTGTAGTCCTCATTACACATTAATAAAAGAAATTGAGCGAGTACATAAATATTGCCTTAATCTGTTCTGTGTATTCCCTAAAATTCAGTAAGTGTAACAAAATATTCTTCAGATGCCTTAAAATGTTTTTTTTTATTTTTTTATTCTTGTTTCAGTATACAACTGAAGATTTGCTTGATCTAATTCAGGCAAGTGAGGAAGAAATAATGGCCCAGTTACAAGCTCTGAATACTTGTGAGATTGGAGGTACCATTACTTAGTATCATTATATGTAAGGATGGAATTAGGCATTATATGAGAGTGAGAGAAATTCATGGGCATCTTAACCCTGTTTCATACTGTTTCTTTAATCTTCTGTGATTAAAGATGGTATTTGTATTTTTGGGTGTGGAGTAAAGGGTACAGGTGATCATCTTTACTTGAGGAGGTTTGTCTGTGACCAGTGACTTTAACCACTCATTACAGGCCTTTTTTCTTTGGATTAAATGGTAATAGAAGAACAATGTTAGATCAAGAAAAGTCTTGGATGAATCCTTTCATTGTTTCTACTAGGTGAGGAAACTAAGCCTTACGAAGGGAAACTGACTTGTGCAAGGCTACATGCTGAGTTCATGATAGGATAAGGTACAGAACTCAGGTACTTGAACTCCTGCTTCAGAATTAATTTGAGAACCTCATTGTATTTCTACATTGCTTGGAAGATGCAACTATGTTCTTGTGATAACTTGTAAGATATTTTTGAGTATGTGTTAAATAGTTTATATAATAAACCTATGTACGAGCTACTATGTTAGCATGTGCTGGTCTCAGGGGTTGATGTAGAAGCCCAGTAGTATCTTCTTCAGCATTTTAACTAGCTTTTGGTCTGGGGTTAGAGCTCTTTTTCAGTATGTGTACCTGCAGAAGTACTTGAGTGTGTTTGTGTGCATTTTTAGCCCTCTTAAGCTTGCCCAGAGAAACAGCTTAATTCTGGAAGGAGGAAGTCTGCATGGGCTGTGGATGCTTTATTCAATCTGCTCATAGTCTTCTAAGCAAGATTAGTCTTTGTGAGACCTTAACCCTCAAATATGGTAAACTCTGCTGAGTAAAGCCACTGTACACGCCTTTAGAACTAACAGGAAACACAATTCTTTGCCTGATTCCTTGAGACACATTTGGCGCTAAGCATTGGAATTAGAATTTTTAATTATGGATGTCTGTTACTTACTGTTGTATGTGGGTATCATGAATGTTAAGATTGAAAGAAAAAAGGGTTTTAATGTGGCCTTTTGCATTATTCACTTATTCTGTGAGGATGGATAAAATTTTGATGTGTGTGAGTGCATAGATCATTCTTTGCTTGCTTTCTCAGTTTTACATCACACATACCATTTTTTAATGTTGCCTCTATTTATTCAGAATAAGAATAGCAACATTCTTCTGGGGAAATTGTGGATGTGTATTTTGTTTCTCTTGGGGTGGCAGTAGCACCTTCAAGTATAAGATGGCATTTCAGAGTCTGTCATGAGAACAGGGAAAAGTATTTGATGTCCTGCCTTAATGTTGGCACTGGTTCACATTGTACCCCTGAGTCCATTGTCTCCTGAATGAGCTAGACTTCTTTATGAGCATGAGAACACCCCTGCAAGACAGCTGAGATGAGAGTTAGAATCATGACGGTGCCCATGGCAGAGATACTGAACCTATGACTTCGTTTTAGCTGTAGGATGTTCTAGTGAAACAACCTGCCTGCTACAGGTTTCCACATTTCCATTCAGAATGGCAAGATTATTGTGAGATAATGTAGTATCAAAACCCTTGAGAGAAGTCTAAGTATTAGTTATGTGGAAAGTGCTCTTTAAAAACCACTTGATCTCCCTTAAGACACAATTTGTAATGTTGGAGAGAAAAGCATTAAAAGAAACAATGTTTATAAAGAAAGCTAAGATTTTGTGTTTCTCTTTCTTGCAGTGGGCAAGAGTATACTGCTATTTTATCAATCTGTTAGCCGATTAATTTCCTGAAAATATTCTTTGGTAAATATAACTTTTATAGGTTATTGGAGGATTCTGGAATTTGATTATGAGATAAAACTTCTGAACCATGTGACTCAGCTTGTGGATTCTGAATCTTGGTCTTTTAGTAAAGTTCCTTTGAATATATGTCTTCAGGAACTTGGACCATTGGAGCCAGAGTAAGTGTTTTAATCACCATCCCTCCAGATTTCCTTAAGGGGAAGAAAATTATTTTTCAGGGTGTAACTAAACCCAGAGCATAGACTATATTTTGATATCTTATAAAATATTTAAAAATATACAGCCAAAAAAGGTCTTGGGAATTCTGGTCACTGGGGTGAATTAATTGCATCATCTTTTTTCCCCTCCTCCAACATAAAATTAATAAATAATTATATTTAAGGTGTTTTATAATAATAAATGTATGCTCACATAATTCATGTAAAAATGTCTAGCTTGGGGCCTAGCACACAGTAGCTTTCCAGTATATTTTAGTTAGTTCCTAATGTAAAGTTTTACTTGGCAATACAAATCACTTAGAATTTCAAATCTTAGATTCTATCTTATTTTCTAGTTAGTAATGGTATTTAAAATATAATATATAAAAATATGATAACTTTTAAATGAGCATTTTACATTTTTCAGAGAAATGATCGAACACTGCCTTAAATGTTACGGAAAGAAATATGTAGAAGAAGGTAAGATCTGGGAAGTATTTTTGGGTATCTCAGCTCTTATAAAAATTGGTGTGCTTCTCTGAAGTGTCTTCATGTTAAATAAAAGAATGCCAGGGTTATGGGAGTTGGGTTGTGTATAATCCCTTCTGTGAAACTGCATCGAGGAAAAGGAGGCAGAGGTAGTGTATTTAACTGTAAGAAGACAACATGAAACTATCTGGTACCTTTTCCTTAGGCCAAGTTTATTTTGAGCTGAGCACTGATAAAATATGCAGAGCAACAGCACAAATGCTACTTCAGAATGCAGTGAAATTTAATCTTGCTGAGTTTCAAGAAGTGTGGCAACAAAGTGTTCCCGAAGGAATGATAACTAGGCTGGATCAGCTTAAGGTAAAGTAGCAATGGTGATTGCTGCCATAACTCAGTGGGTTAGCGTTAATTACTAGGGGAAATGAAACTTGTATTGGAACTGAATTTGGAGCCAACCTATTTTCCTACCATTAGGAGTGTGTTATCCCTTAGTCTACCCACAAAATCCTTAACAAAAAAACACAAAACCCAGCACTTTATTGAAGTATAATTTACATATTACAAAATTCACTCCTTTAAGAAGTATTTTCAGAAAATGTAGTGAGATAGCCATCATCACAGTCTAGTTTTACAACATTTCTGTTGCCTCAGTGAGGTTCCTCAGGCCTACTTATAAGTTAATCTTGGATCCCACCTGGTGTATCTCATTTTGTTCATTTCTCTCCATTTCCAACAGTACATTCTTAGCCCAAACGGTCATGTTCATCTGGCTCTAAATAGCAGTAGCATTCCTGGTAGGCCTTCCATACTTTTCATTTTGCCTACCTCCAGTCAACTGTAGTGCTACTCGAATGATCTTTTAAAAATGCCTGTCAGATCAGATGAACATCTTGCTTAAATCACTTTAATGGTGGCCCACTGCATGTAAGATATAAAATTCAGGATTCATATCCTGGCCTACAAGGCTCTATAGCTTCATTTCTGGCTACTTTCTCTCCTGCTTGCTGCATGTCAGCCTTCTTTCAGGTTTTCATGATCATCAGGCTGTCTCCTACCTCAGGACCTTCACACAAGGCTTTTGTTCTAGAATGATCTTTTTCCTCATTTTTTTTTTGTTTTTTTTTTTACCTTTAATTAACTTTATTTTTAAGTTGCAAAAGTCGTATATATTTGTTAGAACATGTAAAACAGTATGAGATGCATAAATTTCCTCCCCTCACCCCAAGTTGTGGAGCTCAATACATATGTATAATATTCAGAACATATAAAGAACTTTCTCAATAACCCAACTGAAAGATGGGCAAAAAGCTTACACAGACAACTCACAAAAGAAATATGCAAATGATAAGTACAGGAAAAGATGTTTAGCAACCCTTATCATTTGGGAAATGCAAATTAAAACCACAAGATACTACTGTGTATCTGTTAAAATGGCTTAAAAATACTTAACACTATGAAATACTGGTGAGGATGCAGGGAAACAGAATTACTCATAGATCAGTGGGAATACAAAAATGGTAAGGCCACTATGGAAACTGGTGAGCAGTTTTTTTTTTTACCATACATAATATAGTATCATTTATTTTTTATTTTTCATTGTTTTACCTCTGAATGGATTTTTGTTTATTTTTATTTATTTATTTATTTTTTTGAGAGGGCATCTCTCATATTTATTGATCAAATGGTTGTTAACAACAATAAAATTCTGTATAGGGGAGTCAATGCTCAATGCACAATCATTATCCACCCCAAGCCTAATTCTCGTCAGTCTCCAATCTTCTGAAGCATAACGAACAAGTTCTTACATGGTGACCGAATTCTTACATAGTGAATAAGTTCTTACATGGTGAACAGTACAAGGGCAGTCATCACAGAAACTTTCGGTTTTGATCACGCATCATGAACTATAAACAATCAGATCAAATATGAATATTTGTTTGACTTTTATACTTGATTTATATGTGAATCCCACATTTCTCCCTTTATTATTATTATTATTTTTATTTTTAATAAAATGCTGAAGTGGTAGGCAGACGCAAGATAAAGGTAGAACACATAGTTTAGTGTTGTAAGAGAGCAAATGTAGATGATCAGGTTTTTTCCTCATTTTATCTGGCAACCTCCTACTCCTTTTTGAGTTCACAAGACCTTCATTCCCTCCAAAAAATGCTTCTTGTTTTACTCTTCTTCCAAAGCATGTGTATCTTTCCTTAATGGCACCAACCGCTTATCTTTGGAAAAATGATTACTTATGTGGCTTCCTACTCTCCACTTTAACAGAAGTTTGTTCCCTGTTGCTTGCCAATACATGGCATGCTGCGTGGCATGTGGTGTATGCTCAATACGTTATTTACTTTTTTGTGGAGGGGGCAGTGTTAAGTCATTTTATTTATTTATTTACTTATTTTTTAAATTAAGGTATCATTGATATACAATCTTATGAAGGTTTCACATGAGCAACAATGTGGTTTCAACATTCACCCATATCAAGGCCCCCCTACACCCCATTTCAGTCACTGTCTATCAGCATCAATATGTTATTTGTTAAATAAATGAAAAGATTTACTCAATAGTTACAGAGATCCCCCTTATTTAAGCAATATGCTAGATTCTGAGGAGAAGGCACACAAGATGCCATCAAGGTCAGTCCTCAGCTTGGTGGGGGTGGGGGTGCACCTTACACGGTAATCTCTTTTCACAGTGTAGAGTGACCTGTGTCAGGGAAAGGTATGCCTAAGATGTTATGGGAGTAGAGAAAAGGGGCTTCTCCATCTCACTGGTCAATAAGGGATGATTTTCTGAGGGTATGGATGTTTCAGCTGTTGAGTTTGAAAGGATAAAGTATTACTGTCTAGATGGAAAGGCAGAGAGGAAAATCCAGGAGAGCATGTTCCAAGGAGGGATACACATCAGGACAGTGAAAAAGGGACACATGAGAGTGAAGGGTGCTGGCGAGCTAGAGAGGGACACTATGCACTGTGCTGAGGAATTCAGCTGCATGTAGAAAGCTCTTTGGGGCCATTCAGTGACATCAGTTAAAAGAACTACCTGATGAATTTTGCCTTTTGGAAAGAACACTACAACAGTAATGAGGATTGTTGATGGAATACTGACTAGAGCTTGGGAAAGGGGAACTGTCCAGGCCCTCAGCACTTAAATACTTCTAACTAATAGAGTACTGGCCAAAGACATTTGATGATGGGGAGTGAATCAAGGAATGTTGACGCCTTAAAATCTATGGGATGTAGTACCACATAGGTGTGGGGTTTGAATAATGGAATCTAGGATAATGCCTAGGTTTCCTGGTTTCCTAGGATAGTAGGAAGAGACCAGGTGTGAGTGACAGACACAGTGAGCTCATAAATAGGTTTGAATATAGAGGTCTGGTGCCAGGAAGAGTTTTTAATTGATACAAGTATTACAGTAGTTAGCAAATCAGTGGTGGTTGAAGTGATGGATTTAGTTGAGGTTGCCCAGGACAGTGACAGTGAGACAAGTAAAGGGATTGGTATAAAGGTCCATGGAGTGACAGTATCAAGGTAGGAGGAAAATAATGAGATGGGATGTCAGAGATAAAGAGAGATTCAAAGAAGAAGGAATAAACAGCATTAACAACAACAACAAAAAATGGCTGGCAAAATGAATCTAAGTAAAGGACCCCCCTGGATTTGGCAATAACAGGTTATTGGTAACCCTGAATTAGAGCTGTCTTGATAAATTGTGCACTAGAAGCCAGAATGCAGAATGGAAAAGAAGTTACTGTGTAAAGGAGCTGTTCTAATGAAAAAAAGGCTATTGCATGTCTCTGGGTAGTGTGTGTAAGTTTCTGAGAGCTGAATAAGGTAAACCTATAGGTAAAAGAATGAATCATATTTAAACATGAGACCATTACTTTAACTGCCCTTTCTCATCTCATTTCTTAATAGGGTTTAGCCTTGGTGGATAGACACTCAAGACCAGAAATCATATTTTTGCTAAAAGTAGATGATTTACCTGAGGATAATCAGGAACGTTTTAATAGTCTATTCTCTCTAAGGGAGAAGTGGACAGAAGAAGATATTGCTCCATATATTCAGTAAGTAATTTGTTAATGGATTTTGAGGTTATTCTTTTCATATAGTGGCATAGGGTTTTACATTTATCATTAAAACACAGTTGTTTTAGAGTATTCATTCCCTGAGGATACCACTTCCTTTGAAACTTTCTCAAGTGGTGGCTCTCTTCTCTATCATTCTCCACAATTACTGATCCTGGAGATGGGGTGTGTGTTCTATCTTCCTTACCACTGCTTCTGAAACCACTTCTCTGTTCTCCTTCCTGCAAAATGGTGGCTCTTCGAGGGACAGTCAGACTGTATACCCCACTATGATTCTAAGGCAAGCACCCCTCTCTGATTGATTGCCACCTTCCATCTTTCCTGTTGCCTTACTGTAACATTTTGGTAGATGCCAGCTGGCAGAAGAAGAAATTAGCTCCAAAGTCACTATTACCAGGACCTCAAATCCCCTGACACCACCACCCCTTCACTGTGTCTCACCTCCCAAGTCATGTCTCTCCTCTTTACCCAGATGAGATTCCCTGGTCAACCTCTCTTAAATTTACTCCCTTGGTCATCTCTCCCTGCTGTCACACCTCTTTGGTAAAAATCTGCAAAGACTAAACTCAGCTTTCTTCTTACTCTGTGCCTGCACCTGGACAGCTGAAAGCTCTTGGAGAAAAATACTCAATGGGGATTGCCAGTCTCACTTAAGAACTTAGGTGGTAATTAGCAGGGTTCCTGGCAAGGGACCACTTCCTCACGAAACCTTTCTACCCTTACAGCTCACTTTCTATTATCTTTTTTCCTTTCATACCATCAGTTTCCTTCTCACCCTCAGCTTATGACCTTGTTTCTTGGGAAAACAAGCCAACAAGAAAAGGCAAGAGCAGCTTCTTTCTCACTGCAAATCTGCTGGACTCCCTTGTGTCTGCACACACTTGCTTTGCACCCCCTCCTGTAGAGTGCACGAACTCCCCCTGCTCCCCATCCTCCTCCTGCACTAGGCCCGTTCCCTCTGGCCTCGTTGAAGACTTGTTTCCTCTAGGTATCCCTTTCCTCCTCTGTTCGCAATGTCTCCCTATCTACTGGATTACTGCCATCAATATATGATACTATGTAGTATTACTCATCTTAAAAAACAACTTACTGGACCTCATGCTCTCTGCTTTCCTTTGCAAGTAAACTTTTAAAAGTTTGTGTACTCACTTTCTGCTTCGTCTTCCATTCTTTCCTTAACTAATGACATCTCCTTAACCCAACTGCACCATCTTTCTACATTCAGTGGTCAACTGTCTGTCCTTAACTACTAGGCCTCTTAGCACTGTTAGACACTGTGGACCACTTCCTGCTTGGAACATTGGTCTTCTCCCTTCTCCCCTGAGGCTGCTCTTTTTCTGTCTCTTGCTGAGGTCTCCCTGTTCTTCCCAGTCTTTACAGGTTCGACCATCTTCTATTTTTTTCCCTTGGTGCCCTCATAAAGGCCTCGATTTAAAGTTACTGACTTCTTAATTTTATCGTCATTCTTGGCCTTTTCCCTGAGCTCCAGATTCTTATATTTAGCTCCCTAATTAACATTTCTACTTGGATGTCGAATAGGAATTTCAACCCTGACATTCTCATAACAGAGCTGCTGATTCCCACTTGTCCTAACCCCGTCTTCC